AATATCCAGCTGTATAAATATCCAGCTGAATAAATAGTATAAGGTGTTACATAAGTTTGTATTCTTTATATGCTGTTTAAATTTAAAGCTATAGGAATCTTAACATATACCATATTGTAAGTAAACTATATACCATGAACTGTTTTTTATTATGCTGTAGAAATGTATTATTTTCAGTATTTGAAGCAAATGTAACGTCTTTTGTTTCTATGATCTCCATATTTCCAATTACACAAGGCCATTTCAGGAAAATTTTGATAGACAACCAAGACATAATCCCGGTCCCGCCTTTTAACATGCAGCATGGTATGACACACCAGGGAAGACGAAACCCAGCTCTCCCTTCGGTGCAGTAAGTACAGTAACACAGCTGAGCACTGGGGAGAATAACAGCACTGGCCAGTCTACCAGCAATGCTCTCCATGGAGCTGTAGATCTCACCATCGCAGGTGCCTCTACTCAGTTTTATTTTCATTACGACCCAGGACAAGGGTTGTGGAAAAAACATGGGGTAACTCGGTTATTACACTGGCCATCCTTTCCTTCAGTAAGTTCTGTTTGTTTCTTAATACGATAATGTCTGTCCTGTCATGAAACTTGTACAGTGAATACAGGAGGAGCGTCATCTTGTTTCACTGTGTGCTGTACATGGCTAAGCTGGCAATAAAACTTGACTTCAGAACATTTTACAGCAATTTGTGAGTCACGCAACACATGTTCTAGGACCACTGTTTTGTTCCAGCTACAGTGAAGTAAAACAGTTTCACACCCTAGAAACACAGGAAAACAAAGCAGCAAGTTCTGTCTAGTGACTTGAATTTCCATTAAAACATGTGCTAGCCAATGTCATCACTGATTACAATTAAATGCTGTAAAGCTGCTGTGAAAACAGACAGTATATTTCTCTAACAATAGACTGTTTATTGCAAAAAAAGAATTCCCTTTATAAATCTCTCTTTTACTTTTATCCCTTGCCTCCAATTCTCCTTGTTCAGGAGTCAGTGTAGCTTACTCAGACTGCCAAAAGGAAAGGCATTTCCAACTGGAATGCCAAGCTTTCCCACCCTGACGTGGGCTTCCTGGGGATACAGGCCAGCAATTATGAACACGTGTGCATCTTGAGTCAACAGAGCTGAAAAGTTCCCCGCCAAAGAGACTCTCCTGCCAAGTCAGGCTGGCTCAGCACATAGGAACTTCAGTGTTACTAGGTTGTACAGCACAGTGTGTTCTAGTGTTTGTGCAGTAATACAGTCATGAAAATGATGCCATTCATCTCCCTGCTTACATGCATGACATCTGAGGATTTGAGGGTAGTGGAGGTTTACAGGTATTCAGTGATTTTTTTTCTCCTTGCAAAATCTGACCTTTATTTTAGCAGCTTCATAACATCTGGAATCACTATCTTCTTTAACGAAATGTGTTTGTTTCAGAATCCCAAGGCATGAATGTAAGATGCTGAGATGTTTCATCAAACAAAGAATTCATTCTACTCAAGGGCTTTATCAGAAAAGGGGGCTGAACAAGCTACAAGAAATATACAATCCCTCTTTATCTAGAATACAATATAATTCCCAGTTCCCTCTCCACCCAACCTACAAACGAAGACTTATTACATTCAGATATTAATACACAAAGCAGCACAGCATCTACCCAAAAGGATAAGTGCACAGACCTCTATAGGAATTTCAGCACAATAAAAACCATGGGAAGGGAATGATCATAATGTGTTTTGGGACTTAAAGGCTGCCATATAATTACTTAAACAACATAATCATACAAAAGGATCCCACAGCTGCTCAAACTGAATACACTTTCCCTTCTCAAGAACTGTGAATCTTCATCTCAATCTCAAAAAGTAGAGTAGTGTAACATCAGTTTGAGAGAGGAGTAATAAACAAAAGAAAAAACAGGAATTCTACCCAGCTCATTTTAGATATGATGCACAGTCATTGAGTGGCTACACTGTGTGACATAGGCATGCTAAAATTTGGGAGGCAGCCTCCCATGTCACCCACCAAGAGTATTTATAGCAATATGTCACAGCTCAGCTATGAGTCAGCTGAATATCCTGCTAGGTTTCAACACCCTGTCAATCCCCCACTCAAACAGTTGTGTGCCCCTGTGTCTCGCAAAAGACATTAGGAAGCAAGGTCACTGATTTGTGTCGTGTGCTCAGATTCGCCACAACGTTGCCTCTTGCATCAATGCTGCAGCAGGTGACACGTACACCATGTGACCACAGCCGATTTCATCAGAACCTGTTCACAGGGCAGAATTATGCACCTGCCATGGTGTCAGAGATTCAGACATCAGCAGGAGAAAAATTCTTGCCATTCATTGTCTGTTGTGCTGTATGTTCTAGCCTGTAGTACCTCAAACAGCTCATTGAGAGCCTATTTATGGCTAGTATTTTCTACTGGGAAAGTGTGTGGGAAACCATTTAAAATGACAATGGTGAAACAGTTTCAGAAATACAGAAATAGAAGTAACATACATGCAGTCTGCTCCAAAAGGCGCAGCACTATGCAAGTCTACTCTATTATAACTCATAATCAACACTCAAAATGTGTTTTGTGTTTAGGCCACTAAACGCACTTTGGATTCCAAGCTTTGGACGCATCAGGATATGATGGTTTTGGAAGTACCTTTAAGTTTGAAAGTGATGTGAACCTAAAATGCCAAAACAAGTGATACAAGATCCAAATCGTTACTATAAATAAGCAAAACAGCAAGCAGGCAAACAAACACATGAATAAACAAATAAATAGTTCACTGGAGCCTGAGTATAATACATAGGCTAAAGGATTTCCTACAAATTACAAACACAGATAAACAAGAAAAAATATTATAAAACTTTATATATAGTCTAGTGGGTAACACTGGAGTTGGGGGTTTCAGACATGCCTCTGCTCTGTGTGTGTGAAATTTGTCACTTGTCACATGGGTACTCTGGTTTCTTCCCCATGTCTGAAGACATTCAGGTTATTGGTGTCTCTAGACTTTGTGTACAGTATGTGCTCTGTGGATTAGCTTCCCATCCAGGGTGGGGCCTTGTGCTCTGTGCTGCCTGGGGGAGGCTTCAGACTGCTTCACAACCCTAACCAGGATCACTGGTTGGAATATGGGTGAATGGATGGGAGGACTGACAATAATTACCACCTCCCTACTAGTACAGAAAACAGTCAATGTAACAAAATGAAGCATGGCTTTAATATATGCCTATACTATTATAGGCTGGCAATCTCATTCCAAGTGCATGTGAGCAGAAAATTTTGGGTGCTCACTGAATCATGAATCACTTCCACTTCCGCTGGTTTGTACACTTAAGCATGGTAGAATGAAACCGTCCAAGCGGATCCCTCTGAATCATCCATACACCGCTGCTTATTCCTGCATTACTCACACTACTGCTTACTCGAGTCTCAGACATTTCCACATTCTACAAGAACATCACCACTAAACAGAATGAACTGAATATAATAAATATGAAACAGTATTTATTTTTACTGTGAGATCTCAGCTACTGCTTTTTAATGCCCAGGAAAGTGACATGTGAGAAACTCAAAATATTTAGAAGTTATAAGCGATTATTTCCGTCTTTGGTGTACGTTTTTCTTAACAACAAAAAAGCTTCTTAGCAGAACAAGTACCACTCACTGATATAACAAAAGAAAATCTTCTGAGAGCATGCTGACATTGTAAACCACGATATGACCTGCAGTCCATTACAGCATGGACATAATAAACATATAAGAAGTATGTGCGTATGTAAATACAACTTGTCATGCTTAATGTCTGCTTCATATAAACTGAAAGGTACAAGGGAACATGCAGTGTATCGTAGCAAGAGACAAATGACTGCAAACTCTTGTTAAAGTACTGTACTCGTCCTAAATCAGCAGAGTGACATCACTGTCTTCACGTAACACATGTACAACAATCTTGGCACAACACAAAACTAGACTAATACCAGTTAGCTTGGGACATAAAGAGACTTAATACATGATGACATTCTGGCCCCCAGCTTAACCTTTGTCAGTGAGCCCCAACCTAGCATAAATTCCCCAAAGGACACTGTGGGCTGATATCATTCTATGAAATACAAAGAAACACTGTTGAAGAAACATACCAGAAGGGGCATCCCAGAAGACTCAGCCGCCATTATACAATTAAAAACTTAAGGACCAACACAAGTAAGATAAACTCGTTTGTACAAATTAACATGGCTACTATCATTAACATAATTATATTTTCACTTATTTTCATATAGCTGCTGAGGCGGGAATTATTTATTTGGAAAACTACAGGTCGACCCTCACACAGAGTAAAAACAGTTTTATTCGTGCCAGAGACATAAAGTTTCCAAAAATAAAAACAATAAACAAACATAATTTGGTGAGAAGCCACCTGATTATGCCCACATAAACATTCACAGGTATTTAAATTATTATGTTTAATGGGCCTCAACCTTTGAACCAGCTAACGATTAAGCAAAAATCTTCACTACAGTCCACAGAATGAATCAGCTGTGGGAAACAGGAAACGCTCAAGTCCTCACATGCGACATCCTCCTTTGTACAGCACAAAACATTTAAACATATAGAGACCCTGCTGGAACTCAGCCATTCCACACTGTTTTGTTCTCACACACGCTGCTGTTATTTGTACATCGATTACTAGAAGTTAATGAAGCATTAAGATTGTTCTACATTCTCCAAACGCTAATAATAATAGTTCAAAATTGTATTTTTATTAGATATTTCTTTTGAGCAAGCTTATCAAACAAATCACCAAGTAAAACCTATAGGCCTATAAGCTTTGCATCCTCCATTTCAATTTCAATTTAGTTGTCTAGCTTATTTTTGATCAATATCTTAAATATTTAATTAATCATAAAATGGGAAAGTATTCTGATTTTTTTCCTTAACTATAATGTTCTCAACACTCATACCTCACACATACTTGACTTACATACAACAAATCTCAAGTGGTCTGCTTACCTGTAAACTTAGGGCTATCTGCCTAATGTAGATCATATTGAGATCTTCCAGTATTCTCATTCGCTCCTCCATTTCTGTTCACTGGCATACCCTTAAGAAGGATCGGTTCAGGATAAGCAGATTTACTTGACCTCTAAGTTACTGTTCTACAGTTCATGTAATATTGGAAAGTCTCTGAAATTAGGATTCCCAAATCCCCGGTATCAGAAAAACCCATGCCAATAGAAAGGTGTAGCGCACGATTGCATCCCGCAGACAACGAGAACAAAAAATGTAATCAAGAATCATCTCTGTCAACGACGCCCACAAAGATTAACGAAATTCGTCCATTAAAAGTGGATTTATGATCAAATAACGTATTCGCACAACCTAACGACCCACGGCATTCCCAGCAGACTGCACAAACGATTCGTTTGAAGAGAGCAACTTCTGTCAGAAGTTGTTTTGACGAAGTTTCCCCTAATAATTCCGAATACAAAACTTTTGCCTGTATCTAAGCAATCGAGATTCCGAAAAATGAAAGTCTTGCGACGCCAGGGTTTTCTTTTCTTCCGCTCGTAAGGCGAAGTTGCATTGCCGTGAGTCCAGTGAGAACCGCGATTCAGCAGGCGATGGTGTCTACAAATAGCTCCCCTGGTGAGAGACTCGACGCTTTAGCCTACAGGCAACGTGCGGGGGCTATAGCCGGAGACCGGGGCTTGCCTAGCTTAAGTTAACACTTATAAGATGCGGTGAACTGCGATAAGACAAGAATAAATACGACTAATTTTAGAAGCACCGTTATCAACGGAGGTTTGTTATGAGTGAGAGAAAAAATTACATCAATCGACTTAGACAAATCCATCATTTCGGGCTTCTAAACTAACAAAAAACATCGCTGTTACTGTCTGTATGAACTAATTAAATTTCCCCCCTATCGCTAAATAAATTAAATAAAATGTATAGTCCTACATTTTATTTCAATATTGCACGCACCTAACTGAAACGCACCATAAACGTATTTTCCATTAACGTTCGACTGAGATCCGGCCCTGTTACAAAAGTTGATGTAAATTAATTTACTGTAAATAAACGAGTTCTTGCTAAGAGCTTCCTCTGTTCGAGGGAAAATATGATTGGCCATCATAAACGCATAAAATGCTTCTGTCGACCTTTTCATTAGATCCAACCATGGACGGAGAATACAACATAGACTACTCAAAATACCAAGTTCTTATTAATGGTAAATATGCAATTACTTAATGTAGTCTCTAGTGTCTGACTGGAGTCTCAAAACCGAATGCAATGTTCACCATGCGTGTAGTTGGTGTAGTTGAGCAAACATGCATTCATCGTCAATGCAATTTAGAGTTCAGTATACATAAAATCCATTTATATAATGCTTCTTATGGTTTTTTTAAATCAGAAAACTTCCAAACGACTTTTAAATCCATCTCTGTTCATTGTTTTATTGTAAATGACATATATATACATACATATTCATTCGAACTTGGACACGTATGTGCTGCATGAATACAGATTTTTTTTTTTCATCTGGCATAGACTTTATGCGTGATTAAACTTGTTCGAAGAGCTCCAGCTGAGTTCAAACCAGTTACAAAGGAGGGAGTCAGTTTGCATCTGAGAACGCTTCCGTAAGAAATTAATGTATTAGCCACTTTGAACCCCTTCATATCGTGAAAGGGGCAAGACCACATGTTCGAAACGTCATTGCATGCCGTCAAACAACAATAATATAAACACGTAAAAAAAAATGAAACATATGTTAAATAAACTGAAGAGAGATTGAACTCCTGAACTAGAACAAAGAGTATAGGCATTATTAATCTTAAGCATACAACTGACAAATCCAGTGAATACAATTACAGTACTATACTAAGCTCCTCCATAACTCAAAATCAAATACTTTAACAAAAATATCTCCTCATAATTGTAGGAAGCTGGTTCTTTTAAATGTAATAAACATTACAATGTTCTTGGTTTCGCCCTGTTATTCTTATCTTTGTGCCTGATGAATAGCTGAAAAGTGGTTTCCTACGGGGTGGGGGCCATAACAGTATAGGCATGGAGTACAAAAGAAAGCACTGCTCGGGAACAATTTAGTTATTAGAATTGTTTTATACATAATGCTTTAATTAAATATGCAATTAAATCACTGATAGGGCCGGACTGGCCCTTATGACAAAATTTATCACTCAGCAAAGTTATCATGGGAATTCATTATTGGAAGAATAATGAAGGAATGCATCCAGTGCAAGATTGTGTGGATTCAGGCATTTCCCTTAATAAGCCCCAGGCAAATGGACATACTTGACCTTTCACCCCTTAGTCAGCATGACATAAGCACACAGAAGGAAACTGCGGAAATAATCAATATGTGACTATGAGATCTACAAATCTGTGTGTCTCTTTGGCCCTGTGTACATTTGGTTTTAAAACGCATCTTGATATATTTTCATATTCAATACTGATCTGAAAGAATTTTACTCACCATGCTATAACTATTTGAGATTTAAAAAAAACTCTTTGTTATCATTTTAGTTTACCCAGGTCTTGGGTGATGTTTAGGGTCTGGGACTTCATACAGCTTTTACATACATAATGCTTACAATGAGCTTTAAACAGACTTGCAATGCTGTGCTATATAGAAACATTTCCCGTACCAAGTTCTGAGCTCCCTAGAGATAAAACTATCTGAAGAATAGAAATTAACTCTGACACCTGCCACTATGAAGAACAGGCAAATGAATCAAAGAATATACTCTATGACCAATTGATTTCTTCAAATCCCCCACCTCCTACAGCACAATCATTCACAATCACTTCAGTGATGCAGTAATACCCAATGGCGAAACAGAAAGCTATTCTACAGACACAAAATAGGCACTGAGGGGCGTGGCCCTCCCAGAGAGTCTAAAACAGGAGAGATTAGGCCATATAGCCTTATCGCAAACTCCCACTTTGTATTGCTGCACTCAAGCCTGCCGTCTTGAACACTTGCCTGACAGAAAGACTTTGATTGTGTTTTTACAGTTCAGAATCCGACAGCTATGGCATGAACCTTCCTGGGGATTATGGTACCACATGTAGGAGACTAATGAGGTGCTTATAAAAACCGTAAGACAAGTTTATCAAGAGGAGAAAAATTATATACTCTAGGAAATCCAACTTCTTCTCAAGAATAATATAAATATTCTATATTACATTAAGTCCTCCTTGCAGGAGTAGGCTAATCAAATATACACTGAATTGACAGTTTAGCACAGTAACCAAAGGTCATACTGACCTTTCATTTACTTCACATTGTTATTTTGCGCTTAGTAGGCTTTTAAGGGGAGAGATAATATGAAAACTAAGTTAATCTCAATTATACATGGCTGAGTTGTTTTGAGATGGTCACTCTCACTTTGGACTATGACATTCAGCAAGAGGCAGCTGAAAAGGAAATTAACAGATCCGAGCAGAGTAAGCCAAACATCTGGGCCAGGAAGTAGATGAAAACTATTCCGAATGGCTTTTGAGCTGTGAGAATGATAGTACAATGACTGCGAGACCATCACACCAATCAGAGCCATTCCTCTGATAAGAATATCAATAGAAATCCTGTTTCTATCAAACTGCTTCATATCTGCAACCAAGGAGAAGTTCTATGCACTTTAAAAGACCTGGTTTAATTTTTAATGGGCTTCCACATATCTTATACTAAAACAGGAGCACAGTACACAAGGCAGGGGACATTCCAGGATGGGAGACAGACCATGAGGTGGTGTGAACATACACAGAAACTGTAATTTGGCACTGATTATATTTAATGTACAAAATAATAACTTAATTCTGCCCTAATTATCCATAACTGCTTATGCAGGGTCACAGTGAACTTGGAGCTCATACTATGAAACCTAGGCTGATATATTAGGGGAAACTTACAGACAGCGATTCTCCTAACCTACATGTCTTTCAAATGTAAGCCCTCAGAAGAGACCCATAAATACTTCACCCTCAAAATAATTGAAGTGGAACTCAAACCTAAAGTCTTGTAGGTTTAAGGACACAATGCCTCACCCAATAAATAAAATGAAATGCTTTGTCAGGTTATTCACCACTGGAGGGCACCAAATTTTCTTTAGAGTTCACTTTTACATTCATGGAAAGCAGCGCACTCTGTTGGTCAATTAGAAATAATGTCAAAACACATGTCAAAAGCAAGGCGGGTATTGCTTTCATTAATTTGCATGATGGGATTTAATGTGATACAAATTACAGGTGCAGGTCAGATATATTGTATTTATTTGTCATGACGTGAACAGGCACAACATTCACTTCTTCACGCCAAGAATAACATAGTATGGTTTGGCTGCAGCTGCTTCATTGACTCTTGCACCTGTAACTCTCAATTTAACTGTCAAATCAGGAACTTGGGGGGTCTGTGGTTCAGCACTGAAATATCATCTGTGACAGGAACCTGTTGACTAGAGATGGTAATAGGACTGTCGAGGCCAAAAGTTTTGAGAATGACACAAGTATTGGTTTTCAGTGTTTTGTAGATCTTTTTGTCAGATGTTTCTAGGGTATACTGAAGTATAATTACAAGCATTTCATAAGTGTCAAAGGATTTTATTGACAATTACATTAAGTTTAAGCAAAGAGTCAATATTTGCAGTGCTGGCCCTTCTTTTTCAAGACCTCTGCAATGCTGTCAATCACCTTATGGACCAAATCCTGACTGATGGCAGCCCATTCTTGCATAATCAATGGTTGGAGTTTGTTAGAATTTGTGGGTTTTTGTTTGTCCATCCGCCTCTTGAGGAGTGACCACAAGTTCTCAATGGGATTAAGGTTTGGGGAGTTTCCTGGCCATGGACCCAAAATGTCGATGGTTTATTCCCCGAGTCACTTAGTTATCACTTCTGCCTTATGGCACGGTGCTCCATCATGCTGGAAAAGGCATTGTTATTCACCAAATTGTTCTTGGATGGTTGGAAGAAGTGGGGCCCTCCCGGAGGATGTTTTGGTACCAATCTTTATTCATGGCTGTGTTCTTAGTCCACTCCCTTGGCTGAGAAGCAGCCCCACACATGAATGGTCTCAGAATGCTTTACTGTTGGCATGACACAGGACTGATGGTAGCGCTCACCTTTTCATCTCTGGACAATCATTTTTCCGGATGCCCTAAAACAATTGGAAAGGGAATTCATCAGGGAAGATGACTTTACCCCAGTCCTCAGCAGTCCAATCCCTGTACGGTTTGCAGAATATCAGTCTGTCCCTGATGTTTTTCTTGAGAGATGTGGCTTCTTTACTGCCCTTCTTGACACCAGGCCATCCTCCAAAAGTCTTCGCCTCACTGTGCGTGCAGATGCACTCGCACCTGCCTGCTGCCATTCCTGAGCAAGCTGGTGGTGCCCCAATCCCACAGCTGAATCAACTTTTGGAGATGGTCCTGGCGCTTGCTGGACTTTCTTGGGCGCCCTGAAGCCTTCTTCACAACAATTGGACCTCTCTCCTTGAAGTTCTTGATGATCCAATAAATGGTTGATTTAGGTGCAACCTTACTAGCAGCAATATCCTTGCCTGTGAAGCCCTTTTTGCACAAAGCAATGATGACTGGACGTGTTTCCTTGCAGGTAACCATGGTTAACAGAGGAAGAACAATGA